TGCTGAATGATGTTTGACATAAATCAGTAAATTTTGAAGCATATTTAGCATAGATCAGTAACTAAGAAGATTTGTAAAGAAGTGTTCAATACGCAATTCCTTATGTTAAACTATATACTTAAGTGCAACAATCGCATAAAAAATTCCAATCTAAACTTAAAAATCTAATGCTGTTTTTGTTCCGCTTTTGTTGCATTTCTATGTTTTATTTGCACCGTTGCACTGAGATCATTTTTTACTGCTGTTTGTTGCCGCTTTTTCAATCAAATATCTTTGATATTCAGAACTGACACTATTTGACTGAATGCCTACAGAGGCGTACACTCTGCCTGAAGAAGTCAGTCTGCAGCTTCACTGCTACTACTTAATAAGTTACGGAATATCAGCATACGATTGAACAAGCAACATTAACCTATTCAGCAACTTAAGGCCACAGTGTTAAATAGGTGGAGAAACAGTTGTACAATTATTTTGGAATGAAACGACCAATTACCGTCAGAAATACCTTCAACAGTACTTCTTATACATTTATTTTTTATTATTAAATTACTAAAGCCGATTATGCGTGAAATCGACGAAGTCTGTGAAATTTTAGTTTACTGCTGTCGCTTAGATTTACCATAGGTTCTTGCAAGTTTCAAACAAAATCTTACTGTCCTAGATGCATATTTTCAATTCTATTAATTTCAGTACAGTAATATTCCAGTAAAGTAAGAAAAGTTAGGTGTTATTGATAATTAAACATAGCTATATTAAAATAAAAACAATTGAATTTTAAACGTCAGAAATAGAGTTAATTGCTCAAAAAAACAGAACACTTTTTTTGATTTAGCTATACAGGTTGATGTAATTACCATTACTGCAGGAAAGACGTTGAACAAAATGCCGTTAACAAAAGATTAAACTTCAAAAATCAATAAGCAATTTTTCCCCTGGAGTAAGCAGTAATATAATTGAATTAGTTTGGCCTCTATTTAGTTACAGTTTAAAAGGAAACAACAAAGAGTAAAGTTAATAACCTTCTTTGCTACTTTGTACCTCTATCTCCTATCGCTGATGATAATTTGCGTTACAATACTTCCATGGACCCATTGAACAAGGTTTTGATAATTGTATAGTTTTGTGACGTAGATAAGCGTAAGGTAAAGACAGGGCTAAGAAACAAAAAATGACTATATTCACTTAAGAAAAGATAAATCATTTCAGATAAAATGAGCAAAAAATGAAATGAGCGCACTGCTCCGTAAATGACATTTAGAACTCAGCTCGGTCACCTGAAAAAGTAATCACGGCGATGTTCCACTTGATTTCCACAGTATGACATCCAATAAAACGTTACTCAAATTTAATATAACTGTTTAATTTCAGTCATATGCAAATCCCCAGATAGAATCTTATTTTGCAAATATAAGTTAGTTTTTTTTTCGCTACATGTATTGAATTTTATTCCCATGATAAATCCCAAACAAAAAAAAAAA